TAATGGAACATGTGAAAATCAGTCTCCATGACTCTGAGACCAGAAGAACTAGATGGTGCCCAGTTACCACTACCCACTGCTCTGAAAGGGATCACGTTAGAAGGTCATGGATAGAGCAGGAGAAAATGTGGAACAAAAGTCAAAAGAATTTTTTTTTTTAAGACCAGGCTTATTGCTCAGAAAGAAACTGAAGGAGCCCAAAACTATGGTCCCCAACCATCCTTCAGGTCTAGAAGGGAACTCACTCTCATGACCCAATTTTCAGCCAAGCAATAGATAAGCATGTGAGGGGACGGCATTAGTAAAGTATGCTCACCAAGGAATGGCCATTCAAAATCAAAAGGGCAACATTTACCTATGGATACATTTGAGAATGGGTGAGAAAAAAGGTAGACTGGAACTAGGAGTCGCAAGGGAGGAAGCAGGATAACTGTTGTTGCAGGGAGGGGATTGTAATCATTGAGATGACACAAAGTGTATGATTTGATCAATGTAAAATTGATCATCTTGTCTGTAAACCTTCACTCTATTCATAACAAAAAGTTTGAAAATAAGAGTCCAGGTTATCGGTTTCCAAAACATCAGCCATTGAAAACCCTATTGAGGCACAAGTCTACTATAAAACACATGGGCTCACGATGAATTGGAATTGACTTGGCAGCAACTGGTGGTGGTAGCAGTACAGGGCCTAAATAATTTTCCTGCAAAATCGGTAATGAAAATATCTGTGATTTCCATCAGTAACACAGTCAAAGGTACAGCTAACATTTATGTGGTGTTGTCCACATTCAAATTGCAGGAAATGCTGAATTTTAGTTAGAGATCAGAGAAAGCCAAGGTCTTCAATTCTATCTATGAATCTCAGGTTAGGAATCCTTGCTTTTCAAACCACCTAGTTAAAATGCAAATTGTGATTCAGTATGTGAAAACTGAGACGCTGCATTTCTAACAGGCCCGCAGTTATTGCTGATGCAGTTGGTCCACGGACTGGGTCTAACAATGACAATTTTAAACTGGGTGCTGTTAGAAGGCAAAGGGGAGCTTTCCTAGCCCTTGAAGTCTCTAGGAATGGTTTAGGATTTCCTGGCTTCACCCTAAAGATACACACTTTCTTTTCCACAAACTTCAGTATGTAATGACACAGAAAATGTAGATGACCAGTCACAGAATTTGGGCTTCTGGGCACCTTCTATTTTCTAAAAGAACCATGACAGCAGCTAGTAGAACAAGTTGTGAGCCCTTGGGAAGCTCCATTAATCAAAATGTATGGACAAATACAATACCCATTCATAGTATGTACAAATGACTCAAAAGTCCAAGCAACCAATCTACAAAGGTTGAACTGATAATGCAAAAGAAAAAATTAACCAATGACATTGAATTATTGACTTACATATCTTTACCATTTTCTCTGAGGGTATAGAATATGTATTAACTCGATGGCACCTAACAACAACAAACAATGCCCTTGTACTTGAGGTATATATTATATATGGAAAAAATATTAAAATGGCAGGGGAAAAAAGGTCAAGTTAATAAATAGTGTCACTTTTATTTGTAGCACACTCATCAAAAGTATACAAAATATCAAGAAAATTAAAACAATTTTCTTTGACCCATCCAACAATGGTTTTTATAGTTTTTTTAGTAGGGAAAAAAGATTTAGTCTAAGACCTGGATCATAAGGCTACATTCCTTCAGTTTCCTTGGGATTCACAATAGCCATTTACACCATCGCTCCACTTCCAGTACCCCCAATTAACTGTAATTAAAGCTAGGTTGGGACTCCCTTCAACCTGGGGGAACCTACAAGTAATCCCCAATTTACAATAGAGTTTCATCATAAATTGATTCTGACTTAAGTTAAAATCCCATTTCCCCCCCCCCTTTTTTTTTCAAGTTTTAATTATTATTGCCTGTTAGTATTTTTATAAATCCTATCTTTATTTGTCTTTGGAGGGTTGGCATGAAAATGACAATTTAAGCAAATTATACACTGCAACATGGTGTTTAGTACATATTACCAATAACAAGATGTACAAAAAAAAAAAAAGGCTGTTGTAAATGCAGTTTATCATAAAGTGTAGTTCATCATAAATTGGGACTACCTCTCGTTCTTTAATAAGTCCTGGTGTGGCAACGTGGATTAATGCGCTGGAGTGCAAAGTTGATTTGATCAGCAAGGTCGACGGTTCAAGTTCACTAGCCGCTCCTTGGAAACCCTATATGGGTTGCTGTGGGTCAGAACTGACTTGATGGTGCTTACCAACAACAACAACAATCTCGTTCTTTGCTTCCATCAACTGGAAGAAGCTACAGTAAAAAAATGCAATTTTCAATCCTGTCACAAAGGCGCTGGGCTGCTCTTCGGGTGCCCTCTGCTGGTCATACATGGAAGCAGAAGAAAAAGTCCTTCCTGTTGAGTATCAAAAACTAAACCAAATCAAACTCAATGCCATCAAGTCGATTCTGACTCATAGCAACCCTATAGGTTTCCAAGGCAGTAAATATTTCTCCCGTGGACAAGCTGCTGGATTTAAACTACTGACCTTGCAATTAGCATTCCAGTGCATAGCCTACAGCTTCACCTTAGCCCTGTTGTTGTTGTTAAGTGCGTCTAGTCGGTTCCGACACATAGCGACCCTGCATAGAGTTTCTGAGGAGCTGCTGGTGAGCTTGAACCGCCGATCTTGCAGTTCAAACACCTTTGCAGTATGGCGCATTAACCCACAGCGCCACACCAGGACTTAGCCCTGCAGCCATAAGTAAAAAGGTTCATTTAAGAAATGGTCAAGAAAGTCATCTGAGATGGATGCAAACGAATTATAAGCAAATAAACCCTGCAGAGGCATGTTGGCCATAAAAATAAAACACTGAGACTTTAGAAAAACACAGAATCATCTATCTTTAAGAATTCTTTTACACAAAAAATTAGAGGGGTGTCCCCCACCCCCACCCCCCAGAAGAAAGCTAAAGTTTGTTTTTGTTTGATTTTGTCACTGAAAATGAGGAGTTGACATTTATATTTTTCAAGTCTTAATATTTTGGGCCTTTAGGGTTTCAGAAAGGACTTTAATGATACAATGGAGGGTAGTTATGGCATTAGTTAAAGCATTCTGAATGGACCTGGAGTTCCTTCAGCTCCAAGGGCAATATGCAGAGACCAAAGTTTATTAGTGGTTTCCAGGGGAGGAAAGGAGTCTCTGGGTGAATCAGACAGTTAATAGCTCCGCTACTGACTGAATGGCTAGCGGTCTGAACACCAGCCAGAGGCACATTGGAAGACAGTCCTGGGGATCTGCTGCTGTGAAGCACTTCTACCCTGAACACACAGATGTGCCTGCGTCAGAGTCAACTCAATGGTAACTCACAACCTGTAGGGACAGACTAGTGCTGAGGAGGGAGGAGGTGGGCTCATTGTTAGGGGCCATTGAACTTCTGTAGGGTGATGGAAATATCTGGAAACAGACCATGGTGGTAGTTAAACAACATGATGGTCATAATTAATGTCACTGAATTGCACATGCAGAAACAGTTAAAAGAGCAAACAAAAGTTTGTAGAACAAAGAATTTTTCCATGAATATTTTTAAGCCCCTTCATATTTATCACAATGAAATAACATGTCAGCACAATCATCCCTTTATTTGCTGCTTTGTGCCACATCTAACTCAGCTTCTAGAAACTTAGAAAGTTAGAGCTGGAGGGACTTGGAGGCCTGACTTCAATTTGAAAGATTAAAATAAAAGGCAGTCTGGTTTGCAAAGGCCTTAGCAGAGAAAAGCACGACTAGAGCCTACACTGGGGCTTCGTCCCTTGTGAAGTTCCTAACATAGATGGAAATGGATTGCTCACTCATTCAGTTCCTTCCCAGGCACCACCTGTTCTGGGAGGTCAGGCAACATGGGAAAAATGTCCATTTGGTTCAAGTTTGGTTGATCTGAATTTTAAAGCATTCAAAATGTACCTGGAGGAAGATGAGGAAAGAAATATTAGCTAATTAAAATGTTGACAGGGTAAATCCTAAATTGTTTTGTTGTTGTTGTTTGGGAGACGGATAGTAATTTTATTTTGTTTTTGCATTGAGGTATTTTGCTATTTTTCCCAGTCTTCCAACATAGTCATAAAAAGAGTACCTAATTGTTCCTTCAAAGTATTTGCCACACTGTAAATACCTGATTTACTATTCTTTGCCTGTCTAAAAGAATGTCACAGTGTGATGTATCCATGGGGCAGTAAAGGTAGAATCCTCACTTTCCATGCCAGAGACTCAGACTTCATTTCCAGCCAATGCTATGCAAGCCCCGTCACCACCCCTGCCAGGGAAGGAGGCTTGCACATTGCTGTGATGCTAAGCAGATTTCTGCAGAGCTTCCAGATCCAGACAATCTAGAAAGAAAGGTCTGGTAATCTATTTTCTAGAGATTGGTTGATGGAAACACTGATTCCATGGCAGCCACCAACAACAACACAATGTAGCCATATAAATTATTTTCCGTTTTAGTTTGAAGATTAGGAAAAGATAACAACACATAAGATTAAATGAAAGTTAGCAAAAACATTACAGGCAGTTAGTGTATGAATTTTATTTAAATAAAGACGTGTTTTTAAACAAAACAAAACCATTTTTACTGGCACTTTGCTTTGGCTGGGATCTTTGGATTTAAGGCAAAGTTGTGATAAGAAAATAACCACCACTGCTGCATCTTGCTTCCTCTTAAAGCACAAAGCATCTGGCCAAGGGGAGGCCCAGCTGTGTAGATAAGTCCTTCAGACAGTGTTTTGCATGTCTCATTTTAAAAAATTGGTCTAGAAATCCACACATCTGCCTTTGGAAAAATTCCCTTTAGAATACTTTGCACAAATACATTTCTCAGTGGCACATGTAATAGATTCTCTTTGTATTTTGTAGACGTGCTTTAACTGGGTGGCATGTATGGCTTCACATTCATACGTCTGGGAATGACTTCCCTGACCCCAGTCTGAAAGTCACAGATACTGACTAGCTCTTCAAATCCAGAGGAATACTTTCTTCATCCACAGGCTCTTTCGGTTTTGACTGGCTGCGAAGTGTTAAGAAGGAATATCTCAAACCTCCTGCCATGCTGAAAGAGAGAAAACAGAGTCAAATTAAAGAACTCTGGGAATTTCTTAAGTGATATCACCAACAGTCCCTGCCATTCTTAAAAATAAAACCAGTTGCTGTGATTCCAACTCATGGCAACCCCATGTGTGTCAAAGTAGAACTCTGCTCCACTGATTTTCAGTGGCTGGCTTTTCAAAGGTAGATCACCAGACCTTTGTTCCAAGCCACCTCTGGGTGGATTTGGACACCAAAATTTCTCTTACTAACTGTCTGTACCACCCAGGGACTCCTTTCTTCATTTGGAAAAAAAATTACTCAGAGTCCTGCTAGGTCCTTACAAACACAGAGTTTGCGTTCAACTGTAGTTATTGTTGTTAAGTGCCGCCCAATTGGTTCCAACTCTTAGCAATCTGTATAGGATTTCCAAGGAGCGACTGGTGGATTTGAACCATTAAACTTGCAGTTAAACTAAGCACTTCCAGTGCTTAACATTACACCAGGACCCAAAAAATGGGCAGTTTGAACACACCCATCAGTACTTCAGAAGAAAGGTCTGACCGTCTTTAAAGATTCCAGTGTTCTATTCTTTAACACGTGTCAGAATCAAGGATAACAAGTTTGGTTTTTCTGTTTTGTTTGCTTTTCTCTTCCAGTTCATGGTTTGTTTTTGAGAATCTCCTTATTATTTACAAATCTCTGGGAACAAAAAAGAATGGCTCAAATCTAAAACAGTATCTTAAAAAGAAAAGCATTTGGTTCTCGCTGTATAAACCATATGCCATCACCCTATATAACTGAGTTCCATGTCTGGGATCCCAGAATGCTTTTTAAAAGTTTCTTAATTAATCCTCCCAGCATCCTTAGCATATGGCACAAATTTAATGAGACCAACTTCACAGGAGAAAGGTAAATAACTTGGGGTGAACTCTTCTGTGAGGAAGAGCCAGAAATTAAATTCAGATTTCAACCATGTAAATTTGCATTTTATACACCCTCATCACCCACATGGGGGGAAATATCATAAGAATAGACAACTTGGTGATTTAAGTAAAATTATTTTTAAAGTCTCAATGTCAAAACACCTAAATTCTCAATGGTTTAAAACACGGTATTTCACTTTGCTCCATTTTTACTCATTATATATAATCAGACTGTTTGAAGTTCTTATTTTACTAAAATGAGTTCATTTAAAAAATCCCACTCACCAAATATTTAACCCTACAAAGTTTAACACAGAGAAAATGTAGTCTCCACCAACTAACATCCCAATGTAGGCAATGGATACATTCTGCAGAAAAAGACACGAGGATTAGTCATTTTAAAGTAAAGAATTTAGAAGGAAAATACATGAATTATGGTGAAATATGAAATGACACATTCAGATACTTTTCATAGAGATGTGTACACATTTTAGTTTTCATAAAATATTTAATGAATGAGTAAAAAGTCCTTTTTTGTTGTTGTTAAGTGCCCCTAAGTCAGTTCTGACGCTGGTAGTCTTTGAACTGACAATTTTGCAGTTAGCAATCCAGTGCTTATCCTACAGCACCATACCAGGACTCCAAAAAGTTATTAAATATGGTTTTATAAGGAAATAAATTAAATACATTACAATAATGAAAGTATATTAATCATTTCCCTACTTTCATGTTAGCCTATAGAAAAAAATCTAAGAGTTGGGTTGTAATCAGCGTGCAAGATCCCATCTCTTTATCATCACTGGATAGTGAATTTTAATCCAATCGATCGTGGACTTGAACAGATAGTTGTTATTGTTAGCTATCATGAATTCATCCTTTATATACGCATACATGTATCATCTATGTAATATATATACATTGTATATGTACAAGGGAACGTCACAAAGTTTGTGGAAATATTTCTTTATCTGTTCATTCCCTTTTTCCACAAGCTTTTTGAAGTCCCCTCATGTGTGTATGTGTGTATGTATAGGTATGTATACCATGAACTCTTTGAACAAGAGAGTTCAAAGAGTTCATGGTAAAATGGAATTAAAAGATAATGGAATTTTTCAGTGAACTTTTTGAAGCCCCCTCCTATGTATACCCAAAATATATTCATTTAAGTATACATCCAAATATACACAAATTTGCCTAACAATGGGGTATTGTTGTTGTTAAGTGTCGTGGAGTGTGTTCCAACTCATAGCAACCCTATATAGGATTTTCAAGGTGGGCTTGAACCACCAACCTTGCAGTTAGCAGTTCAGTACTTATCCTACAGCAACACACCAGAACTCCAATAATTGGGTATATACAGTCAAATTTCCTTACTTGCTAAAATTTATTTGTAACCCTGAAATCAATACTTCAGCACTTCTGTTGTTGTTCGCAGATATGTGAAGAACAGCAAAAATTTGAATCAACAGACACATACTCAGATTTCTTACTTCATTTGCCATACTCTAGGCAAATGTCTTTTTCACTAAACAGATGCTGTTGTTGTTAAGTGTCATCGAGTTAATTCTGACTCATAGCAACCCTATACGGAGTTTCCAAAGAGAAGCTAGTGGGTTTGAACTTCCAAACTTGAAGTTCAAACTGACCTTATGATCCCATGCTTATCCTATAGTGCCACACCAGGACTAAATAGCTAGTACCCCATTTATTGCATTTTTGTGCTTTTTTTGTTGGTGATTTCACTGTTTAAAATAGCCCCCAAGAGTAGTCCTGAAGAGCTATGTAGTATTCCTAAGCACACAAAAAAAGGCTGGGCTGTGCCTTTTAGTGAAAATACATGTATTAGATAAGCTTTGCTCAGACATGGGTTACACTGTTATTGGCCATGAACTCAATTTTAATGAGTCAACAATATATATTAAGCAAGGTGCCTTTAAAGAGAAACACATAAAATAAGGTAATGTGGACATCAGCCCAAGATGCTGGACTAGGCAGATATGCTACCCAGACCCTCTACAACAAAGACTCAAGAAACCAAGTGAAACAGATTCCAAATGATAATACTTAGACCCAGAGCTTTGAAGAAAAAAGGTCAAATATCAACTAGAGGAAAATAGTGAAGAAAGTAGTGAACAAGGAAACACGCAGAGCAGTGAGTGCCAACTGGCCCAACACAGCATGACTATTTTTCATTACTGTAAGCAGTGTTCAAATCAGGGTAGGAACAAGATAACCAGCTCTGCTCACTCAAGATTACACTGGCAACCACATCAGGGGCTGGCAACCACAGAGGTGTAATGTCCTCCATCCTCTCTACCCTGTACAGCCTACTGGTGACCAGTAGTGCGGCCCACCCCACCTCAACCCACCCAGCAGAGAGCCAACACTCCCCACCACTACCAGTGCTGGGCCGTTGCTCTAGTTTCCTTCTTTTCAGTTCTTCCCTCTCCCACCCCCACCATTTGTTTTGGTTTTTTCCTTCCCTACCCCATTTTTCCCTTTGGCCCAGTAGGGCCCACTCCAACCCCTTTGCAGTCAGCAGCACACACTCCCACAGAACAAGCACTGTCTGCCTGCTGCAGCCATGTTTGATGCCTAGTGCTTACACCAGTACTGTGATGCTTTTCTAACCTCGTTTTTCTTTTACATTTTTCCTTTCATTCTCAGTTCTCTCTCTTCCCCTCCCCTTGCTTTTTACTTTTTCTTTGCTTTTTTCCCTTCCTCTTACCACCTTTATCTTGATCCCAACAGCAGACCGCTGTCAGAGATAGTTCTGGAAGATAAGCCTCTCAGGTTAAAAGGTACTCAAAATTTAGCTGCCTCCTCAAAGTAGAGCTCACTATAATGGCATGAATGGAACAAAGCTTTCCGGACATTCATTTACTGATGGGGTACAACTCAAAATGAGAAGAAACCGTTGTAAACATCCACTAATAATCAGAACATGGAATGTACAAAGTATGAATCTAGAAAATTGGAGATGCTAAAAATGAAATGGAACACATAAAGATTGATATCCCATGCTGAAAAGGACTAGTATTGGTCATTTTGAATCTGACAATCATATGGTTTGCCATGCTGGGAACATCAAATTGAAAAGGATTGGCATCACATTCATTGTCAGAAAGCTCATTTCAAGATCTATACTGATGTAAAATGCTGTTTGTGATAGGATAATATCACACACCTACAAGGATGACCAGTTAATACTACTATTATTCAGATTTATACACCACTAAAACTGGTGATGATAAAATTGCAAAATTCTACCAATTTATGCAATCTAAGATGCATTGATAATTACTGGTAATTGGAAAATGAAGGTTGCAAACAAAGAGGAAGAATCAGCAGTTGGAAATAGAAATAGTCTTGTTGTTAGATGTTGTGGAGTAAGCTCAGACTCAACAACAGAATGAAACACTGCCTGGTCCTGTACCAACCTCACAACTGTTGCTACACTTGAGCCCATTGCTGCTGCCACTATGCCAATCCATCTCATTGGGGATCTTCCTTTTTTTTTACAGATATTCCACTTTACCAAGCATGATATCCCTCTACAGAGGCTGGTCCTTCCTAATAATATGTCAGAGTATGAGAGACAAAGTTTGGCCATCCTGACTTCTAAGGATCATTCTGGCTGCGCTTCAAACACAGATTTGTTTGTTCTTTTGGCAGTCCATGGTACTTTTAATATTCTCTTCTAACACCATAACTTAAATGCATCAATTCTTCTATGGTCTTCCTTATTCATTGTGCAACTTTCACCTGCATATAAGAATATTGAAAATGCCATGACTTGGGTCAGGTGTACTTTAAGGCCTATTCAGTCACTTTAAAGAGGTCTTGTGCAGCAGATCTGCCCAATGCAATACGTCGTTTAATTCCTTGACATTTGCTCTATAAGGGTTAATGGTTGATCCAAGCAAAATGAAGTCTCTGACAACTTCAATTCTTTTCTCCATTTATCTTGATGTTATTTATTGGTCCAGTGGTGAGGATTTTTGTTTTCTTTACATTGTGGTGCAACCCATATTGAAGGCTGCGTTCTTTGATCTTCATCAGTTATATTTTATGACCTCTTCACTTTCGGCAAGCAAGGTTATATATCATCTGCATATCACAGGTTGTTAATGAGTCTTCCTCCAATCCTGATGCCGTTGTTGTCATGACTGTGTCAGTCCACCTTTTTGTATGACCCTCTACTTTACCAAGCATAATGTCCTTTTCCAGGGTCCCTCCTGATAATATGTCCAAATCACGTGAGACAAAATCTCACCATCCTATTAATAAGGAGTATTCTGGCTGTACTTCTTCCATGACAGATTTGTTTATTCTTCTGGTTGTCTATGGTATTTTCAATATTCTTCTTGTTATGATTCACACAGTCAAATGTCTTTGCATAGTCAATAAACCACAAGTAAATATCTTTCTGGTATTATCTGTGTTCAGTCAAAATCCACCTGACATCAGCAACCTAGTTCCACATCTTTTTCTGAATCTGGATTGACTTTCTGGCAGTACCTGTACTGCTGCAATCATTTTTAAATGACCTTCGGTAAAAATTTACTTGCTTGTGATAGTAATGATTTTTTAAAAATAATAATTTCTGCTTTCCATTGTGTCACCTTTTTTGGAATGGTCAAAATTCAATCTTTTTCAGTCTTTTGGTCAGGTAACTATCTTCCAAATTTCTTGGTATAGATAACTGAGTACCTCCAGTGCTGTATCAGTTTGTTGAAACATTTTGATTTTTATTCCATCAGTTCCTGGAGCCTTGTTTTCCTAATGTCCTCATTGTAGCTTGGCCTTCTTTCTTCAATACCATTGGTTCATGATCATATGCTACCACCTGAAATGGATGAACATTAACCAATTCTTTTTGGCACACTGACTCTGTACATTGTATCTTCTTTTGTTGCTTCCTGCATCGTATATTATTTTTCCCATGTTGTTGTTGTTATGTGCCATCTAGTTGGTTCCAAAACATAGTAACCTTGTATAGGGTTTCTAGGGTGATAAATCTTTAAGGAAACGGAAAACTTCATCTTTCTCCCATGAAATAGTTGGTGGGCTCAAACCGCCAACCTTATGGTTAGCAATCCAGTGCTTATCTTACAAAGTCACCACATTCCCATTTTGCCCATGTTGTTGTTGTTAAATGTCAATGAGTGGGTTCCTATGTATAGGGTTTCCAAGGAGCAACTGGTGGGTTTGATCCACTGCCTTGTAGTTAGCAGTCCAGTGTTTATTCTACCATGCCACACCAGGAATCTTTTTTGCCCATAGAATTCTTCAATATTTTGAAAGTTTTCTTCAGTTCTTTCAGCTACAGAAATGTTGAGTGTGTTCTCCCCTTTTGATTTCTAAC